TTTTTTTTGATAGATATAGCTGGGACCAACCTTTTTTTTTTTGATAGATATAGCTGGGACCAACCTTTTTTTTTTTTTTTGATAGATATAGCTGGGACCAACCATTGGGTAATGGCCTTTTAACACTTTTGCTATAGTATTCCTCCTTGTGTGTCTAGCAAGATAGGATTTAACAAGAAAGAATGGTAAGGAAGCATGCAAACAGAGCATGGATGCATTACTCAATGGGCAGGTTGACAGAGGACTCCATCCCTCATAAATAACAAATCCCAGCATCAGTCTCACACCCCACCCAAAAAAAAAAAACAAAAGAAACAACTATAATAAGATGGACCATTATAGCCAGGGTATTCAGATTCCAGGAGGGGGATGGGAAGAGTTTGATGTCTACAAATAACCTCCAAGAACAAAAATGGAAATCATAAAAATACAAGTCAAGGCACCATATTACCTGTTTCAGATTGAGAAGCAAACTTCTAGTTAGATAGGCCTGAACAATTGCACGTGCACTAAGAAACAGTAACTGATAACCATTTTCCTGCATTTGATCACAGTCCAGAATTAGTCCCAATCTCAGACTGCAAAAGGTGCACAATGTATGAAAAGAAAATTAACAAGAACATGGCATACAAGTTCACTTCTCATTATCCATACTGCTTGATGAAAAAGCGCTCAAACTTAGAAGCAGCATAATACTAATGTATTTATTCAGAGCAAAACTTTTGGAAGTGGGCATCTTATCTGCCCTACAATATGCATTCTGAATCTCTGATGCCTCCAAAGTCCAAATTTAAGCAACCAAAATTGATGTGGATCGCCAAGAGTTTCATGGGCAAGACTAGAGTTGTCCAATTGGAGAACTCTAATAATTAAATATATATGAAATAAATCATCAATTTTACTTTCCAACCAGGCAGTGGAGTGGGTAGGTCCAGCCCTGTCAATTAGTAAGATAGCATGGATAATGTGACAATTTATGCTCAATATAACATTTTTTTTTGAGAAAAAGGTAGGTTTATTCTAAAAAAAAACAAAAAGTACATGAGAAGATGTACAAAAAGAGGCTAAAAACTCTAAGAGTTGTACAGGAAGAGAGCTATCACTGAAAAGATAATCCCTGTGAACACCAGCCTTTGCTAGGCAATCAGCTACAGTGTTTAGCTCCCTAGGGATCCAGCCCAAGTCTGCATTTAAAGAGGAAAGGATGTCTCTTGCTTCAGTCAAGTGATGAGCTAAAGCCCAGGAGCCACCGTCAGGTTCAGCTAACCAATTGATAGTATTAGCAGAGTATCCTATGATGGTGATGTTCGAATAACCCAAGTCTCTTGCTATCTGGATCAGTTAAGGCTGCCAAGATTTCAGCCTTTTTTGAAGAGGCTATCCCAATTGATATACTGAAAGCCCAACTAATGTTTCCACCTCTTCTTCTAAAAACACCTCCAATGCCTGCTTCACCTGGATTACCGAGGGCACTTCCATCAAAATACAAGGTTATCTCCCATTCCTCAGCAACTCTGAAACTGTGTGTGTGTGTGTGGTGGTGGGGAGTGCAGGAAACATGTTGGGAAAATAAAAAGTTTACTGCATTCCTATGAAGATCAGAGATAGAATTTCCCCACCATAAGCCGAAAGGAAGCATCTGTGGGTGATAATGGAAGTTAGCTCCAGAGTAGAATTACCCCACCATATGCCTGTCCAGAACTTAATCCTATCCCTATTTCCCACTTTATATCTAATAAAAGAGATGAAACAATTGTAGGTTGAGATTATACCTTTCCAAGGGTTGATGTCTTTGACCCCATTTAGAGCCACACACCTCGATTAAGATACCAATTTTTATTCATGTTGGCATGCTTCCCTTTGAGTCCTTGGGTCTAGCTGATAAACAACATCAGCAGTAAAATATTAGATCAAGACAAAGAGAAGAGGAAAGGGAGTTTTCTGGTGTAACAACCAGAAAACAATGATATGTAACAACCACTTCTAAAACCCACCCAATGATTTCTGGTGTTTTCAAGTAGAAAAACATCTAAAGTTTTAGAAAGAGGGAACTTTGACAGAATGCTCAAATAATTAAAGATAAAAGTTTTGATAGCTGAGATGTAATACTTTGGATGGAGAATCCTATGAAGAGAAAGCATAAAATGAACAAGATCTGAATCATTTAAACAATTGATGATATCATATGCTAAAGAATAAGAAAAATAAAAGCTCTGGGCATGATAGTTAATTGGGATGTCATTGCAAACGGTAGGCCTATGTGAGTCAATAGACAACAAGTAATTATTTATCAAATAATTTAAAAGTCAAAGCAACTTCAGTCAATTTATTACACCCTGCCCAAGGAAAGGAGAGCCAAAATCAGTTTTGTTTGGCTTTAAAACAAGCACATCATGAGCGCAAAACTGAAAAAGGAAAAAGAGATGTGCCAAGATTCAGAAACTACCAATAAAAAAAATGAAGAAATGAGTTTCATCAATCAACAAACTTGGCAGCTACATGGAGTGAATTTATCACAGTTTACCTTTTGAAAACATATAATATAATCTATCATTTAAAGGCCATTTGATAACCGATGAAATGGTTGAACCATTAAAAAGCTTATTGCTTTGTCTTCTTAATAAGCTTTTGTGGAGGGGAGTCAAAAGCATTTAAAAGAAAATAGTGAAACACTGAAACTATTATTACAGAACTGAGACACATAGAAGTGTACAATGCAAAATTATCATTTAAAAGAGACAAAAGCATTCCATTGGGGGGGGGAGTAATAGAACCTGGCAGTGCTTGAACCACAAAGGCAACATCCACAGCAATGTCCAGCAGCAGTGGCAGTGGTAAGTGCTCTCCACCCTCCTCTTCCCAACAAACTTAACCTAATATTCCCATCTAAATGTGTCCTCTCACTTTGACAATCTGGCCCATTCAACCCGGATGATCGAACTGGTGAACCATCACCGAGGTCAACATGCCAAAAGCAGAAAAGGAAAAGCACTTTAGGGAAGCCAAAATATGAAGAAATATACATGACTCACTGGATAAGGATCTAATAGATAGAGAAAACACCATAAAGATCAATTAATGGTGTTTAGTTCCAGTTCAAATAAGAACTACTTATGTTTGATATGAGCTAAAAGTTGGCAATAAATTTATAAACCCAATAAGGTACTGACAGGATGTGTAGTAACAGATACCAAGCAAGATAGCAAAGCCTTTTCCTTCTATTTGATGAACAAAGCCCTTTCTTTCTATTTATTGATCCAAGACTAAAAAACTTATGTGCAGAGTAAAGTAATAAAACCAATAACTAAAAAACAAGGTTTATCATTTTCCTTGATTTCTAAGTTTCTTATCATTTCCATCCAATCCCAGACATAACTATGATAAAATTTAAAGGAGTTCTATTCTTTGAATTTAAAAGAAAAATCTCAAGATTCATACTGCACCATAGAAGTATAGAAGTATAGTAAGGGATAGGTGGAGCCAGTGTGACAAAAGCAGTCATAGAAGTATAGAACACCACAATATATAAGTTGCTAGTGTGAAGTAAGCTACAAGAAGGTAAGGGCTTCCTAGGTTGAACATATACAGATACAGGCTCCTGAAAATAAAACATATAAAGATATTTGCATGAATTTCATGATTAACAAGGAGTTTATGCATAAATAATTTCTTACCTCTAAACCACTTTTCATTATCAAACAGCCAAAAGATCAAGCTCCTCTTTGATAACTTTTTTATCATTTACTCTGATGACTCTAGAATTGGGTGTTTTGCATCACCAGTAATCCCCACATGAACAAGAACCATTGCTGAAATGATGAAATCGGTTGGTGTCTCTCACGATGATCTCTCTATCCATCACCTTCGAGACAAACTTGATTGCCGAATGGCAATCACCACACATTCTGATATTCTTTTTTATCCTAATGGTGGATCCAGGGGTTGTATTTAGAAGTGCAAAGGCTAGAGCAAGCTTCTCACTATGGTACTGCAACTTTGCTTCCCTCTCCTGCTGATCCACAAACAACAGCACATGGCTTGGGTCAGGGACATACCCAACTTCCTTGATCTTCCCACTTATCTTCTCCCACATCCTATGGATCTCTTTTCGTTGGGGATGGGTGTCATCATTGGCAACAAACATGTGAACTGTATTCTCAATTTCCACCCAACTACAAGCAGGTTCCTTTTTTACCCCACTCTCTTTCATCATCTTTCTCACTGTTGCAGCATCTACCCACCTACCAGCAGATGCATAGATGTTATAAAGCAACACATGTGGGCCAGAATCATGGGGGTCAAGCTCAAAAACACGTTCGGCAGCAAAAGTACCCAACTCCATATTCCCATGCATCCTACAAGCACCAAGCAAAGCTCCCCAAACAGCTGCAGTTGGTTCAATTGGCATCTCCCCAATGAACTCCTTGGCTTGGTCAAGAAGCCCTGCTCGACCAAGAAGATCAACAATTGTCACATAATGCTCAACCTTTGGTTCTACCTGGTATTTCTTCATCAATTCAAAATAGTGTTGTCCTTCATTCAATAGGCCACCATGGCTACATGCAGTAAGGACACAAAGGAAGGTAATCTCATTAGGTTTTACGCCGATCCTTAGCATTTCTTCAAATCGACTTAGGGATTCCCTTGCAAGCCCATGTTGTGCACAACCAGTAAGGATAGAATTCCAAGAAACAACATCTCTTGTTTCCAACCTATTAAAGACTTTCCTTGCATCATCTATGCTGCCTGACTTTGCATACATGTCAACAAGAGTGTTACCAAGAAATGCAATGAGTTTGCCCCCTGATTTTATCATGTATGCATGCACCCATTTGCCTTGCTCTAGAGCTCCTACACTAGCACAACCACTGAAAACACTGGAATAAGTAAAATGTGTAGGTTTATAATCTTCCCTCAGCATCTCCCAGAATAGTCGAAGAGTGTTCTCCCCTTCACCCTTCCTCGCATGTCCAGCAATCAGAGCATTCCATGAGACCTCATTCCTTGTCACCATCCCATCAAAGACCAACTGAGCCTCCTCCATTTTTCCAAACCTAGCATACATGTCCAAAAGAGAACTTCCTACATAAACATTTGATTCATAACCATATTTTGTGCAAAATGCATGAATTTGCCTACCATTTTTGTCACTTGGTGCAGCCCCAGAAGCCTTTAAAAGGCTGGAAAATGTATATTGATTCGGCTTTAGTCCAAGCTTAAGCATCTGAGGAAACAACTCAATAGCTTCTTCTGCTTTATCATTCTGAGAGTACCCAGTAATCATAGCAGTCCATGTGACCATGTCTTTCAGAGGCATTTCGTTGAACAATGAGCGGGCATCATCTAGACAACCACATTTTGCATACATATGGAGGATGCTATTTTGAATATAAAGATCTGACTTGAACTTGGAGTTGAGGATGTGGGCATGAACAATCTTTCCTTCTTTAACCCTCTTCAACTGGGTGCACTTCTTTAACAATTTATTGTATAGCATAGGATCTGGATCGATCAAACCATGGTCTAAGAGGTCAAGGACATGAAGCCCACTTTCGGTATTGCTTGTGCAAAGAAGGTCTTTTTCTTGAATAATACATGAAGCATCACCTTCTTCACAACTATCATATTCAGTAAGGGAAGCATGAACCACAGAAGAACAAAATGGGAGAGAAAGCAATAGCTGAACACAAAGTCTTGTAGGCATGTGGACTATGCTCAAGGAAAGAGGACCAGTGCAAAGCAACTTCTTCATTTGGAGGGAATTAAGAAGAGAGGTAGATGTCTCTTAGCAGCTTTCAACCTATAATGCCAGAGACAAAAAAAATGAAAAGATCAGGTGATTCAGTGGCAATATTCCTCAAAAAGGGCCTTAAAGTATTAGGAGAAGCATGCATTTTTTTATTTTATTAAAAGGTACTGTAATGTATTATAAACAAAACTATAACTCATATACACCCAAAAAGGGACTGTACAATTGTTAACAAGCAAATAAGAATCCTTGTCTAAACATCTACTATGACTCAAATCTAGTTCCAAGGTGATTCATCCAAGTGAACAAGACTTCCCTAATTAATAACCAGCCCATTCCTTGATACAACACATGGTTACAAGGAATCAACCTTCATTCTTATGTGATTCTTTAAAATCTCCTTTTGCATAATTACTCTTCCTAATCATTTAAAAATAAGTTGATACACTTGCAGCATATGAGATCAAATATACTAACAAATCTCCTTTCCCCTTTTCAGAACCAAATTTAATTCTGTCATCATCTCCTAAGCCTTGTCCAAATAATTCCCTGTTTCACCACATTAGTAATAACAATAGATACCAATTTTAAATGCAAATTCATTCACCAAAATATATATTAAAATAATTGCATTTCAAATATGAGCAACTGCTTCCCTTTATGTTGCATATACAGGTATAATAAATTCAACTGATTAAATAGTTGAAGATAAAAAAGCAACTTTTAACTCACAAGCTTATGTGAAGCAACTAACCAACATAAACAAGGGCAACCATCAGAAAACAACAGGACATTTGGAAACACTCAGACATTCTACATTTTTTTTATCAGAGAAAATGAGAATTTTATTCACTTAAGAGTATTAATACAGAGATACAGCAGATAAAACATAGACATTTCAACAGAGAATTTTTACAATAAAGCCCAAAAAAGCTGTTGCCTTTGAACTCCCTGTTTAGCTAGAGAATCAGCCATTCCATTTGCAGTTCTCCTAACCCATGTAAACGAGGCAATAAGTTCCCTTGCTATGGTTATTATCTCCCTTAACTGATGTCTGTAGTACCAAGGAACATTACTGCTTGAATTGATCCAAGATACCACTGTTTTTGAGTCCCCTTCTATTTCCAAGTTCTTAAAATCTGCTTGCTTGGCAATCTTTAGCCCTTGAAGTAGAGATAAAAAGTTCAGCTTTTAAAGAGTCACCTTCCCCTAAAGGTCCTGAGTACATAGCCAACACTTTGTTTGAGGAGTCTCTGATCATACCACCAATGCCTGCCATACTCAGACATCCTACATGATTAATTGGGGTACAGTTAGGTTTGGTAATTTGAAGTTTGACCTCTGTTCTGTTCTGGTTCAAGCAATCCTGAATTCCCCATCTACTGAGTCTTTGTTATCATACATAAAATCTAATTGTTATCATGCATAATATTAGTGGCTGTCATATTTTAATCTTTTCATTCTCCACATCCAATTTGAATTAGGAAATTCAAATCATGGCATGATTCAAACACCCATGATGTAGGGGTTAAGGAATTAGGGTAAGTTTTAGTGAAACTATTGAACGTCTCTTGCAACTGGCATTCAACAAGTTGATGAAAACACAACAGGTGGTTATAAAGCCAATAAGTTGAGTTTATGCCACACTTGGACACCTTGTCCTAAATGCATGGTGAGACCAATGAAAAGACACGCTACAGGACAAAATTAGGCACAACTGCTACCTTGTCTGTGGGGCAAAGCTGCTTAAACTCATTTTTTACTAGCATCCTTCAAACCCCAAATATCCTCCAATCAGTAACTGTTGCAGCTGTTATACAAGCAATTAGTAAACATGACTTCTACTGTGCATCCACCCTGTATGCCATTGTTTCCAAACTAAATGCTAGTACTTTTGAAAACGTTTTGGACTGGTTTTTTCGAACTGATTTTGCATTGTGTTTTTCAGTCAAGGTGGTTCTTCCTAACTTCCTGTTAGGATTCTGGTTAGTTGAGATAAAGTGATACACTAGCTAACTTTAACAGAACAACTCACCATATCTTCTCATGAATAGCCAACTCCTCTTGACAGGAGGACGTTGTAGTCTGTACTCTCCACCATCATGTTACACAATGGAAGTTTGCTACGTTAGAAGATCTTTTTAGGAGAGAAGTGAGAGATCTAAGATAGGCTCAAGTGCCTTGAAAAAGACTTCTTGTCCTTAAAAAGACTGGATCTAACTGAACAGATTATGCAAGGACTGTCATTCGAACAATTGACTCTTGAGTTGAGGATCAGCCAGAAGTATTGATCACTGTCAGCAGGGTAACCTCTCATGGGGTGGTCTAGGTTTAGTTGGAATCAAATAAGGCTGGGTCAGAGTCAGGGTCAGGGATGAATCCAAGTTGTTTCCATCCTTAGTGAAAGTGTGAAACCAGAATTAAAATCAGTTCTCTTTAATCCTGTTTCAGATGTACGAGAACTCCATGACTGTCTTGTATGAAGGAAATGACCTAAGGAGGCAATGCAAAGTAGTGGAACAGATATGACACTTTCTGAAGAATGATGAAGAGGTCAGAATTTTTATGGGGGCCAATGGGTTTGTTGAGGCCCTTGTCCGGTTTTGGGGGATGGCTGTTCATGAGTGTAATGAAAAGCTGTGGAAATTGGAGCTATGGCATTTTTCAACCCTGCTGTTAACAATAATAGGTTTGCACTTGTTCAATAGTTTTCTTGTTTTCCTTTTCCCCCCCTCGGGACATGATCACGCTGGGAGGGAGGCTCCCTGTTCCCAGTAATGGTAAACTGGTTTGCATTGAATCGAAGTCCTTCGAGCTTGCAGGCTCCCGGGCCACTGAAGGTTATTGTGACATCACAGAAAGGGATGAGGCTACTGGACAAAACTTTCGCTAGGTGCCAAGGAATGCTCAGAACTGAGCTCCTTCTTGTCAGTCGCCACTACAGGCCAAAAGGGACCTTTGGATAGGAAAATCTTGGTGAACAACCAACATACAATCTTCCAGTCGAAGACAAACAACCGAGGGAGATACATTCGTGTGGCCTCTTGGAAAGGCTCTGACAGAATCAGGGGAGGTGAAGGAGCAAGGATGGCGATCCTTTTTGACTGATTTATAGGAGATACGACAACTCCCAACGGACCCAATCCTCCTTCCCCCTCCCCCACAGGCTACAGCTTTCACAACACCCACCCCCCCCCCGGGTCCCTAAAAGAAAGTCAAGTCGTTTCAGTAGGTGGGGGAAAGGTGATTAACATCGTTCACAACTCAAACCCCTTTGGCTTGTGAAAACTAGCCTTCATTTGTGAAAAATCGCCGGGTATAAGTTGGGAATATGTAGAACGAGGTCTCACTGCCAACCTCCACCCCCACTCATGGATAGACCTTCACCCTTTTAGTAGTAACCAGGCAATCAGATTTACTGATTCAGATGAACAACTCCAAAAGTAGCTGAGACTAGGCTCTCTCAAGCTTTTCGGTACAAAGGTTTCTATTTGCAGGTGGTGGCCTTTAGTAAATTCTGCAGATGACCTCCTTAAATTTGATGGCTGGATCAAAATCAGAGGACTCCCCTTTCACCTCTGGACTCGACCGACCTTCAAGTTGATAGGTAACCTCTGCGGAGGACTCGAGACAGTTCATACGTCAACCAGATTACTAAAAGATCTAAACAGGGCAAAGATTCGGGTTCAGAGTAGAAGACTTCATAGTGTTCCCAGATCGATTCTCCTCCATGAAAGAAATATCTGGTTTAATATTGAAATCTCAGTGGAGAAGAAGACCGAGGTTAGTCTCCAGACTCACCGAGTCCTTGATAGTTGTCACCAATAGCAACTCGGTAACTCAGAAGCCAGCTGACACGCATGAACCAATGATAAAGACCGCCACTGCTCTCCCGGTTCAGCGACCAACGCACGAACCTACAAATTTCAAATTGAAGAGTTCCAAGTCCCCCCCAGTGATTTAAAAGGCGCGCCTAGGAGCATTTTAGGGTAGGCCCCTTGCCCAAGCCCTAGGCACAGCCCTTTCAAAAGGTGCACGCCTGGTGCGCCTAGTGCGCCTTGCACCTCAAGGGGCGTGGCACAAAGGCGACTCATAGAATCAGGAATGTAATATGTTTTACATTACATTAGCTACTTGAAGTAATGCAATTGAGAAAAAAAGAAATTCTGGGTTTTATATGCTTGAAAGTGTTTTATATATTTGATTTTATTTTTAAATCCTCATTTGAATATGCTTTACATGTTATTTTAAAATAACATTTATTTTATTATGTATTTTAATTTTAGATAATAGGTTTTTTAAAACATTTATTTTAAAATATAAGTTAATATTTTTATTAATATGATGTTTAATAATTTTTATTTTTTTTGCATTTTTTGGCATTTTTTTATTTTTTAGTTTTTTTATATTTTTTGTGCCTTGCTTAAAAAGGCGTGCACCTCACCTTGCGCCTCAGGCGCAAATTGACCCCTGCACCTTGCGCTTTTAAAGCACTGGACCCCCCAAGCCCAACAAAAGTCCCCTAGAAAAGACGAGGCCCAAACAAAATCTTTTGAAGGTGGGACCAAACAAGATAGGCCCTTTTCCCCAAACTACTTTGCAGGATAAGTCAACCCTTGGTTGAGAGATTAGCTGCCCGAAAGTTTCTTCTTCCTTCGATCCAAACTCTTTGGGCCTGCAACTACTTGAGGATGCCAACTCAGAAATGTCATCCTCGCCGCAAACCCCACTGTACCCTTTGGGAGTTTCAGTAAATACCCCCCCCCCCTCCTTTTCTAGGAGAAGAAAAGTCCTCAATGTTCTGCCCTTCAACGCCCTCCTCCTTTCCCTCAAATTCAGAAGCAGATATGAGTTCAGAAGAGGAGCCGGTTCATATAGATCAGAAGCGGAATTTCCAGAGGAAGAAGGTCCTTTATCAGGAATGAAGTCTCTCTTCAAAGAAAATCAAGAGAAGGCCCATCTCTAGGGGAATAGCGGTGAGAGGGGAGCTGCCCATTTGCTAGGAAAAGGTCAGAGAACTCAGTTCAGACCACAAGCTCGCCTTTCGTGCCCCAATCTGTCTCCAGGTACTTCATTCCAACCTCTTGTTCCCTC